TAAACCCCCAAAACTCCTAAACCCTAAACCCTAAACCCTAAACCCTAAACCCTAAACCCTAAACCCCTAAACCCTAAACTCTAAACCCCTAAACCCTGAACCATGGGTTGTAGGATGTCTCAGGGTATTAAGGTCGAGAGATGCGGGCTTTTAGAGCAATTGACATGCTTCGTGGATTAAAAGAAAGGGGGCCTTAAACGTTAGAATAGGGTTTTGGGGTCTATTCTACTATACTTATCACAAGGAGCCCCCAAAATAGTATTGGTAATTTAGGCCCTTATAGTACGTATGGGCAAGGGTTTAAAGGTGTCTTACCACAGCCGGGCCGCGTGCCAAGATATCTTCATTCATCGTCGTCATGTCCATTTCTACCGGAAACCCAAACCGTTTGATGAGACCAGACCCTAAACCCTGAACCCTAAACCCTAAGCCCTAAGCCCTATAAACCCTAAACCCAAACCCCTTAAGGTCAAGACTCAAAACGTCTCTTCTGACTTGTCAGCTTGGGTACTTGGAAGCAACTCTAGACAATCCTACGGTTGATGATATAAGGGTTCTTAAAGGTAACGCAGGATTCATATCAACAATATTTCATAGAGATTCCTGCCAACAAAAGCGATGGTTCTCCGGGTACGAGACACATCTGCCTCGCCCCTCGAATTGAACACCAGTAACAACACAGAAACAACAAGCAGCTACAAACCTTCAAACATTAAGCGCCGAAGCCCTAAACCTACCCGCAAGCTTGGAAACGATAGCGCGTCCTGTTGCAAACGCCGCTCGGAAGCGCTCACCTCTCCGCCGTTTTGGCGGCGAGAAGCCTGGGTGCTTTTTTCAATCTGAGGGTTGAGGGAAAAGAGTTTCGGGTCCTAAGGCTCCGTGTGCTGTTATCATCGTAAAGACTTAGGCCTTGAAGGCTACTTTTGGCATATGAAGCTATTCAAATCACGCAGAATTCTTACTACAATGTTGTCCCGAATATAATGAATCGATAGGGTTGGGAGGTTTTTTTGCTCACTTTTACGGGTAAGATCCTGTACCCAGATAGCAAGGGCTTCTGGACAACAAAAAACCATCAGAGTATGGACTTTGAGACGTAAGCCCCCATTATGCGGGACGGTTTAGGGCTTAGGGTTTCGGGTTTAGGTGCTTGCACCCTATAGAAATATGAGGAAACCTCGTTTGCGCCAGGTATCGACACGTTAGTAATTAGCTTGAACGCCCGAATCCCGTAGTCCACATAAGCCCAACCAACCCTCGTCCCCAAAACCGGAGACACCACAGTCTATGGCAGCCTAGCTCAAACTGGGAAAAGGGAAACATAACAGCATGAAGAAAAATGATAACAAAGAGCAGTAATGCGACACACACCGACACACGCAAACGCACAACACACGCAAAGACAAACACTGAAAAAGGGTTCCTCAGCAAGGGCCCGGCACTATACCCTAAACCCTGCAGTGTTACAGCCTTTAAACAATAAGCCCCATAAAGGAAGGATGTCATCATACCCTCCTGAACAAGAGAGTGTTACTCAACAAGGACTCAGCTACAATCCCTAAACCCTAAACCCTAATAACATTTACATATATATATATATATATGTATATATAAACCCCAAACCCCCAACAACCCTAAATCCTAAACCCTATATAACCCTGATCCCTATAAACCCTAAACCACCCCCCCTCCCCCCCCTAAACAAGGACTCAGAAGCAAGCTTCCAGCTCGCAGCCCAGATTTTGCGCCTCCAGGCTCACAGGTGTTTTAAGGGCACCGGGCTTTCGGTGCTTTGGGGCTTTATAGGGGTTTAAGGCTTAGTGTGGTTAGGGTTTAGGGCTGAAGGTTTAGGGTTTAGGGTTTAGGGTTTAAGGTTTAGGGTTTAGGGCTTAAGGTTTAATGTTTAGGGGCTTCGAGTTTAAGGTTTAGGGGCGTCGGGCTTTACCACACTGTTGTCCGCTAGTAGATCCAGGTCCTTTTGGATTTCTTCTCCTTTCTGTCGGAGTGTGAGGGTGAGAAGCATCACCACCACTTCGGCTTGAAGGTCCGGTTTCAGCAGTTTCAAGCTTTGAAAGCGATGTACAATGTCGTCCTTCGCCGTGATCTTGAGTAGGTTGTTCACTGCTCTCTTTGCCTCCTCGTGCGGCAGGTTGTCCCGACTGGACGGAAGGGCTTTCTTTTGCTCTGCGTTCGGATTTAAGGGCTTCGGGCTTTAGGATTTAGGGTTTTTGTAAGGGTTTTAAGCTTTTGGGATTCAGGGTTCGTGGTTTCGGGCCTTAGGATTCTTGGCTGAGGCTTATAGTTCTGTCAGAACTCACAGTAGTTAGTGTAGGATTCATGGCTGAGGCTTATATTTCTGTCAGAACTCACTCACAGTGTAGGATTCTTGGCTGAGGCATATATTTCTGTCAGAACTCACAGTAGTTAGTGTAGGGTTTAGGGGTTTAGGGTTTAGGGTTTAGAAGCTTCTGGGTTTGGGTTTAGGGTCGCTAAACCCTAAACCCAAATAAGGCCGACATAGCCCCGCGATGCCAAGTCTTGCCGAAGGCCTCCGCGCTGATAAAGCCGAAAAGCACGGCCAGCCTTGGCTTGGCTTGCGGATGCTCATGGGGTCTCGTTGTTTCCGTCCTTCTCTTGCTTTGGGACTGGTGTGGGTGTGTTCGGATTTAGGAAGTTTAGGATCTTAAGGCTTAGTTGTTAGGATGTTAAGGCTTAGGGTTTCGGCTTTCGGGTGTTGGTGGGAGCTATCTGGGCAATCAAAGCACTGCAAAAGGGTCATCGACCCATTGCTTTGGTGCCATGTCTTCTTTAAAAAAGTACTAGTATCTTGGAGAATTTTGTGTTTAGCGCCCCTGCTTGTAACGTATGAGTATAGCATCACAGCCCTAGTTTGTAGGGTGCGGGGGCCTACAGCAAGGATGGCAAGCCTAAGCACTCTAAGCTGGACACCCCTTATCCCCCAAACTCGATATCTTCAATGACCAGCACCCTGTCAAGACCGAACCGAATTGTTGACAAGAATTGGTATGACAAAGAATAGGTAGGTGCCAGGTGATGGAGGGTAGATCTAACCTGAAGTACACCTTGGGCTGTGGGAAGTATTCATTCAGACCCAAAGAGCAACGTGATGGAGACGACTGAAGTAACTGAACTCCAAGCCCCAAAACCCCAAGCCCTAAACCCTTAAACACCCTGCAGACCTGATTCAATTTTGAACACCTATAGGAACCATCAAGGAAACCCAACAAAACCATAAAGACCCAAACTGCCAGAGCCTAGGAACAGGGTGATGGACAGCATGATAAAGAGCACTGCCAGGATTTTCTGAAAGTTGGTCGATATCCTTCGCTCGGTAAGGCTTAGGCTTTAGGGCATTTGGTGGTGGTGGTGTTGGCGGTCTGGCGACTTTGTTGGTAGTAGTAGCAGTAGGAGTAGTAGTAGTCGTCGTCGTAGAAGAAGAAGTAGAAGAAGAGGCAGTACTACTTAATAGTAGTAATAGTAGTAGTAGT